TTCTGTCATTTGTCGCACCAAGTTTTTCTGTATGTATATTTCAAGCAAAGTGATTTGTACATGTTTTCATTTGAAGCCCAATTGAATTTAATGTATCTTGGCAAAGTATGAAATCATCCGAGACTGGACTGGAGAATTTGCTTCATGATTAATTTTCAAGGTCCTCGATCTTCCCCTAATCATACATGTATTAACTGTTATATCACTCCAATTATCGCTTATTTCAAGCCTCAGGCAGTTATCCACTGGTATGTTCTGGCTTCTATCTTTCAGTAGAAATTTTTGATGTGACGAACAATATTCAACCAGCTTAATACACAAGTATTGTATTTATTAGATAGTCTCCTACATTGCATGCAAAACAAAAAAAATGTTATGAAATGGACCTACTAGGAGTCAAACCCCAGACCTAAAACCTGAAAATGCCATTGCTTCAACCATCTTATAGCCTAATCTCAAAAATATTCTGTAAGAGTTCTGGTCAACTCTCCAATGAGTATCTTTTTTATTTTATTTCTTATTTATATACATTTAACTGTGAATCCTAATAGTGAACTTGGGGGGAGCTGACTCCGATGACCTTATGGTCGTATCGCTCCCCCCAGTCTATACCGAATTAACTTTGTGTATATTGTATATATTATTTTGTATACCATTGTTCGTTTACGGTTGACAAAACAATAAATCTCTCTCTCTCTCTCTCATTCACAAAGCTTCGTTACCGCTTAACGTGTTAGTTAAGCACCGACTTTCTCGTGAAAAGCAAAAATGGTATTCACAGAGCCTCGTAAATATTCGAGAGAGTTTTTTTGGCGCCAAATGAGACGTCTCGTAAGGTGCCTTCTTCTCACATTTTATCGAGAATCGGTATTCACGAAAGTTCTTTAACCGCTGAAGAGCTCGCTAGCTAACGAGAACAATCTTCGCCTCGTTAACAGTTCGGATTGCTCTCAGCAGTGATTCAAATTAAAATAGGCTCGTTGGGACGTTAGCATACTTTGTAAAAATTGGCATAGTATCAAGGGGCCTTACTCAGGTAAGCGTGTATGTAGTCTAGTGCCGTTAACTTAGCTGTGGAATATCTGCCGCATTTACAGATTAAACTAGGGTTGAGATTCAGAGATTGTTCAGTTGTTGAAGTCATTGTTTTTTGTTTATTCTAGCACTGGCCTACAGTATTATGAACACAGATTCACAAATGGCTACCTATATTGAAGCTTGCAGAAGAAAAGTCCAACAATCTCTTCATGTCGTATTCGAAAGGAAAAAATTAGCTAGATGCAAATGAAAGGACCTTAATAGAGGACTATAGACTCAATGAAAAATTAAAAATATGGAATCTTAACAAGCTTTGGCAACTCACTGATTTTATTGTCTGTTACACAAATAGTTCACAATATGTAATTTGTTTTGTGGCAATAAATCTCTCTCTGTGTAACTTCAGCATTTATTCCATGTAGCCTATCCGTCAGTCTATAGATTACGCCACTGCTATATGAACAAAATTTCAAAACGCAGGCTGCAAAGGTGAAGCAGAGAAAGCCGATAGGTTACCGCGAAGGCGAAAGACGCTCGACCGTAAGCGGCGACAACTGATACGGCTGAGTGATCAGTCAGTGCATTTTGTTCAACTGCGACCGTGCGTAAGATTTCGAGAGAATGCTAGTGACCGTGCGTCAAGTGCTTACGAGGTCTTTGGTGAATCGCATTTAACGAGATTTCGCTATCACGATTCTGAGAGACACAGTTACGAGATCGTAAACCCGGCTTTTTACGAAGTTTAGCGAATGGCGCCCCTGATTTGCAGCGATTTTGGCGAAAAAAAATCCGGCGAAAATGAATGGATCGACGTATTCCGCTCCGCGGAACATATTGCTCCGTCGCAACAGCGGAGGGCGCTGTGTGGATTTTCATTCTCCTTTATCGAGTTGGACTGTTATACTCCATAACTTAGCGGATTCGGACAAAATGATTCCATTTTTGTAATCGGGCAGGTATAACGTCAACTCATTCGCCAGTTTCTCTGATATTGGACAGTATTATTACGATTTTTTTTTTCAGTGTAGGCTATTTATGTTCATATTGCTTTTTCAGATATAGGCCTATGTAGCCTACATTTTTTAGAAATATGTTGGTGTAGTTTACCCTAATTGCAAACAAAATGGCTGAATCTAAAAGAATCCGCGAAATTGATGATGCTGATTTGGATTGTGAGCCGTCGACCTCTTCTAGTGGTGAAGGTCAATCAACATCTCAGATTGCATTACGAGCAGAAGAAGACAGAAATCTAGACTTTGCTCATAATGTTCAAAGTATAGTGAGACAATTAGAAAAACGAGGAACTATGGTCGCCCCAACACTCGTTTTCAAACAAGGTGTGAAAATATGCTAATATTTATTTTCAGTACATTTACTAAAGCTATACAATTTTTTTATTTACTGTATTTACTCAAAATTACGCCTATATCGAGAATAGGCCGACTCCCTTGAAACGGCGATTTTATAAAAAATCGCACATAAGCCGGTTCTACGAATCGTGACACGCCGGACGCCTCAAGAAAACGTAAAATGAGAACAAAATTATTGTAACGCAAACATTTCTCACGTTTATCGTTTCTGCATGTTAGCGAGGGCCGTAGGTGGATTATTACCCGTAACTCTTACTTGTTAATTTATGTTAATGAAGTCTATATTGCTTTTCAATGCGTCGTGATTGTGTCGGGAGAATAAAATAGAGTTCCTGAATCAGCATAAAACAATTTCCTTTGATCGCCACAACGACGATTAATTTAGTTCCTTGTCTGTTTCAAGGAAAGAAATAACGCTGTATTAACACATTCTTATAAATCGCTACGAATCTTAACACGCCAGACGCCTTAAGAAAGGCGCAGAACGAAAATAAAATTGCTGTAACACAAATATTTTTAACGTTTATCATTTCAGTTTGTTAGCGACGGCCGTAGATTCTTACTTGTAACTCTTACTTGTAAATTCATGTTAATAAAGTCTATATTGCTTTTCATGTGTCGTGATTTGTATTAATGGAAGGGATTGTTGTCGGGAGTTTAAGAGAGTCCCTGAGTCAGCATAAAACAATTTTCTTTGATCGTCCACAACGCGGTTAATTTCGATAAGAGTCCTTATCACCGCCCCTTAACGGATAACATATCGTAAAGGTGATTAAGAGTCGCGCACCTTTAATTGCCACGAAAGTTTTCACAAAGAAACAACTGGCCGTAAATCGACACTGTTGCTGTTATGTAAAAGAAACGCAAGCGAAAACAAACAATCACAGCCTGTACAAGCGTCACGTGTTAAACAACCAATCACAGACTGTAAAAGCCATCAGCTGTATGATAAGACAATGCACTTTCACAAGCGAGTGTGTGTGTGCGTGCACGCTTCTTATCGTGAGAACTTGGTATGGTTTGAAGCTTTTGGAATTACCGGCAAGTCAGCAGATTCAGATTCAGATATTTATTTCCGTCATGCAAGAAATATTGTACAAATAAACAGTAAAAATAAATCGAGAGAAGAAATAACAGACGTACAATAATTCGACTGCAATAGACGAGGAGTCGCGAATAAACTATAAAGTTAACGTGTCAGCGACACCTAAATAGCTGTAAACAGCAGCAGATGAAGTCAAATAAACAGGATTTAAACATATATATTTTTTGAATGAACACAATTTGGAAAATGTAAGTCGAATTGGGGAAGTCAGTTAGGAGAAAATAGTTAAATCGAAGATAATCATGAGAAACGAGAGAAAAACAAGAGCGCGTCAGGAGGGGAAAAAATGCTCAAATCGTCAGCGTCATGCTCGGGTCGGCACCGTCACAGCTGTCGGGCTTCTGATTGACATGACGCTGCCTTGCGGAGATAAATTACGGGGAATTCCCAGCAAACCACAATAAGGGAATTAGTTTTGGAGGTATAAATACATAATGAAGTTTGGGCAACAGAATCACAATACGAGAGGTTAAGTACACGGCGAAGAGATTTGGGGCAACGTAGCTTGTGGAAGAATAGTGAAAATATTCAATAACACTGGAAATGAATGATATGAACAAATAAGAAAAACATCACATTCAGCAAGATTGACATCAAATACAGGATTGATGACCAGTGAATTAGACTACTGGATGTTATAAGCATTGAGGTAGTGATTTTTTATTTTTTTTTTTTTTTTTTTTTTTTTTTTTTTTTTTTTTTTTTTCTACGGATCAGAGTTTTTCTACTCTCGGATCAGTGTCTTAAAGACACGTCATATCCGAGTCCTATCGGTATAACGCTTCATAAGCATGCCACTGCGTAAGCAGCAGTCATACGACTATGGAGGTTTCGGTATTAGCCGCGCCATTGCAAGACACAGACTTCCACCCCGGGATTCGGTATATGCTGTATGTCACAGCATAACTTCCGCCCAGGGCTTCCGTCCATGTCCTGCAAGGCACAGTACAACTTCCGTCTCCCCGGCTTCCGTACATAACTGTGTGTACGTGTAGACACGCACACAGCATGACATCCACCGTGAAGCTTCCGATTCATCATTTCCGTGTAGGTATAAAGATGGTATTGGCTCGTTTATGCTCCCTTTTATGGGGGCTAAGGGTAGGACGTCATGTTTATTTATTCATTTTTTGTTACTAAATGGCATGTTCTTATTGATTAATTGCATATCCATTTAATATCTGTTTCCAGTTGGCCACTAGTCCGAATACCCGGAGGTTTTTGAAATTCTTTTCCAACATAGTCAAGAATTCATTTAAATTTTTTAAAGTTATTCCCAAGATATTGTCATCGTTAAGATTTGAATATCTGTCTTCCATATCGAGCTTAATCTTTCTTTTAATTATTACGTTCTTCATAATTGTGAGGCCTTTAGTGACCAGAAGTTGTTGTGGCCCGTCGTAGCTGTTGTCCATAATTTCTTTTCCTGATATTGTAAATTTGGTTTCACATATTTCGTTAAGTGCGTCTGTCGTTTCGGTAATATATGCTGCAATTTTGCGACAATGGAGGAATAGATGTCTGGCACTGTCCGATGGTATCTTGCAAAATTTGCAGTTTAGTATTTTGAGTCTGCCGGATGGTTTAAACCTTATTCCCATGTGTTTCATCTTATCTCCAAATGTGTATCCTTCTTGGTATATGCGGTAGGAAATTACTCTTTCATTGTTGGTGAAAGTGGATTGGAATTTCCTCGCGCGGAGATGTATTTCCTCCCAATTAGGATCTTGCTGCTGCTCTTCTTGGTTCTTTTTCAGTTTGGAGTACAGGTCTTTGTGTCGTGCGGTTTCCCACTCGTTCTGAGAGAAATTAATTTCGTTAAATATGTTTAATATGTGGGTCCAATGTTTAGGGATGATACTACTATGGGGCATGGAATTATTATAGAGGTTTTTATTAACAAATTTGATTTTAGATCCAAGCGAGTATAAAGCTTCTACTTTCCAGAATTGGTTTGGGGTGCTACCGTTAACTATGGATTTCATTTTTTCTACTTTACAAGCTTTAATCTTTGCGGTTAGGTCAATCATATTGATCCCTCCCTTGTCCCATGCTTTTTGTAAAGTTCGTCTACTTATGGCCTCGATTTTTTCCGGATACCACAAGAATCTATAACACGCACTTTGGATCTTATTAATTGTTTTCGGAGGAATATCTTTCACTCTTGCTTGGAATATAATAACGGACATTATTACCGAGTTAATAATTATCTGTTTCCCATACCAGGTTAACTGTCTCTGTTTAATGTAATTTAGGGTCCGAAATAGTCTGTTTTCGATTTCAGTCCACATTTTGTCCATTCCTATCTCTCCGAAAAGTATGCCAAGGATTCTGGTGTTGTTTCTTATAAATGTCCGATATGGAGAGCTGTTAATCAATTGATGAGAACTTCTTGTGAGGCAAAGTATTTCTGTCTTTTCCGTGTTTGTTCTTTGTCCAGTTGCTATTTCGAATTGACTTAGTTCTTTGAAAATTTGGCTAATTGATGAGTAGTCGCGGACTGCGAATGTCACGTCGTCCGCGTATTGGTCCAGTTTGTGTTCGAAAGTTCCTAGTTTTATCCCGTGTATATTACTATTGAGTGTTATCGACCTGGCAAAGGGTTCAGTGTTTAGGGCGTATAAGATCATACTGAGAGGGCAGCCTTGTCTGATTCCTCGTCGGATTTTTATTTCTTTAGTTAGCCTACCATTTACGTCTACCCTACTTTTGATTTCTGTATACATGCTTTTTATAACGTTGTAAACCCTATCTCCGATTCCAATTTGACTCAATATTTTGAACAGAAAACCATGATTGACCATGTCAAAAGCTTTCAAATTATCTATTTGAATTATTGTTCAAGGGATATTGTTCGTTCTACAGTGCCTTACGATTGCGTCCGTATTATAGTGGACGTCTTCGATGCTCCTTCCGGGGAGTGAGCATTTTTGCGTTTCGCCTATGACATTATTTAGTATCAACTCGAGCCGCTTAACCAGTATTCTTGATATAATTTTATAGTCTGTGTTTAGAGTAGTAATCGGTCTCCAATTTTTTAGTAAAGTTTCGTCGCCTTTTTTATAGATAAGTTTGACTTTTGCTGTTTTTGCAGAATTTGGAAGTTGGCCGAAATTGAAGATGTTGTTAATTAATTGAGTGAAGTGAGTTTTAATTGTTTTCCAAAAAGTTATATAAAATTCCTTGCTTAGTCCATCAAGTCCTGGCGATTTATTGTTAGGCATATATTTGATAGCGTTGTATATTTCCTCTTCCGTTACTGGACCTTCCAAAAAGGTGTTTTCTTCCTTTGTTATTTTGGATCGGCTCATTAGTGATAGGTAATGCTTTTGGCTCTCTTTTTGTATGTCACTTTCTTCGCCCCATAAGCTCGTGTAAAAACTCTCCACAATTGTTAGGATTTCTTCTTGACCCGTAGCCACAGTTTGGTTGTCGGTTGTTAGTTTTTCGAGTGTTGTATTCTTAGCCCTTTTCCTTATCCTTTCGTAGAAGGTCGATGTTGGTTTCTCACCTTCCTCTAAGCCTTTCATTTTCGCCATTAATAAATCTCGCGCGTGTTGTTCTTCTTGGAAAGTCTTAAGTCGCGCTTTTAAAATACAAATTTTAATGGCGTTTTCCTGTTTTCCTTCGTCGATTAATTTGAGAAGATCTTTTCGGACTATTTCGATATCGTTTTTTTTGTTACGGGCCAAATTTTTCGCGTATGCTATTGCCTGTTTCTTTATTTTGCGTTTTACGCTATCCCACCATTCCTGTAGTGAATCACAATTATATAAGTCGAAGGTAGCTGATTGATAGGTATTTATTATGACGTTTCTGAAAGTCTGATCGCGGTATAGCATGACGTTATTTCGCCACGATCCCCTGCCCCATCTAAGTTTTTTCGTTTGTGTCAGGGTTACTGCCGGACATAAAAGGTGATCCGATACGGTATTGGGTACGTGTGTTATAGCCGAAATGGTGCTGTCCAAATTTATTGAATTATATATTCGATCTATCCTTCTGCCATTAGCTTGAAAATAGAAAGTGAAAAATCTGCTTTCTAGAGTATTTATTTCTAAAGGTATCTATGAGGTTGTTACACTGGATAAAATTTTTGAAGATTTTCTCTGGGGGGCGCAACTTAAAGTTATTCGTATTCGAGACGTCCACCGATTCCAGAACATTGTTAAAATCCCCGACCAGGAGTAGTTGAGTAGAATCGCAATAGTATCCTATTATATTTGTCAAAAGTTTGTAAAAATCGGGTTTAAAAGGACCGTTTTGAGCGGGGCATAAATATTGAAAATCTTACAGTTCGTTGATCAATTTCTATTTCTAAGCTATCGCATCGATGTTTGATGTGCACGGTGTATACCGTCTGCAGAGTCGAATTAGTATGTTTAGCCAATATTAGAGTCCCTTGTTTGAAATTAGTATAATGTTTCTCCGTTTTGTCCAGTGTGTTAAAGTAGATGTCGTATCCTAGGTTCACTTGCCCATTGCGATATGACATTCTTGTCAACCTTATGCGCTTCCTGAACACATAAAACGTCCGGCTTTTCTTGTTTAAGAAACCTATTAATGTTATTCAAGTGATGTTGAACACCATTGGCGTTCAGGGAGACAATCTTACACTTAGCCATATTGAATTATATAGGCGTCCAAAAGGTGTAACCTCCTATTTGTGGTAGAAATAGTAATGGCTCGTGGTCTATCATTTATTAAATATGGCAATCGATTTATCGAGAAAAACTTAATTTTTACTCACGTAAATTCCCTTTTTCCTACCAGAATTTCACAGGTTGACGACTTGATCCCAGGTCAGGTGTCCAGTATATTCTTTTTCTTGTCCGGTGCTCTATTAATTTTTCTATCTTGAGTTGTTATGGAGGTTTCAGATGAGGAGGTATCATCCCTGTTTCTTTTATTTGTATATTCCGAAATGTCCAATGGTATGTCTGATAACTCCGAGTTTTCTTTTGTTCCAGGTCTGCGGGGCCGACAATATTTCTCTTGGGGTTTCTAGAACACCGTAGAATCTATTGAGTCCGGGTATTCAATATTGCGGACCATGACTTTGACATAGTCATGTCCTTTTGATTTCGAGTGATACGGGGTGTTTCCTATTGTTGATGTGAACCTTAGACCCACTGGTTTATTTCGTTTCTTTTGCTGCACTCCCTTTAATGGTGGTTCAGTTTGCACGCCGTCTTTTGGTGGTTTCTCAGGTTGTAGGTCTTCCTGAGGGGATTTTAGTGGACTTAAGACATCTTCACACGTAGACCAGTCACTTAGCTCTTTTGTGTTGTGCAGATCAGAGGCAGACGAGGAGAACTCACATACCGTGTCGTTTCTGGTTAATTCAATTAAAGGTTTTTCTGATGTTTGTTTTTCCGCTAATTGTTCTTCATTATAATTAATTACCTTCCCTGTGTTGTCTAGTGTTTTGTTTTCCATGTTGTTTGTTTTCCTTGGTGTTTTATTACTTTGTTCCACAGTTTTGCGAGGTGTATGCGTTACGTTGGTTAATTGCGGCCTTCTTTGTTTTGGCAAGGCCCATGCTTGAGTCGGGTTTGTGGGCGTTGGGTAATCCATCGCCCTTTGTTTACAGTTTTTTCTTATGTGCCCCGCTCCTTGCAATAACGGCATACTGCCTCTTTTTCGCAGTTTATGAAAGTGTGTCCACTTTCTAAACATCGCCCACATGTGGGAATATACATCTCTCGAGGGAGGTATGTCTTACATCTTATCCCGTTTATCATAAGAAAGTCAGGTAATCTGTCTTTCTTGAAGTTTTCTATCAAAAAGGATGTAAAACCATTGTAAACATCGGTACCTCTGTGCCAGTTCCTAATTGCGTTTCTAACCTTGCCGCAGCCAAGTTGATTGATTATTGCGGCAACCTTAGTATACGATGCTTCCTCAGGGATTTCTTTTATTGAGATCCGTACTGGGGCTCCACTGGGCAAGGTAATGGAGATCAGAGAGTCATTAACTCTTATTTCTCCATTAGTTGCATTTAAGAATTCTTCTCTGCAGCTGGTATTTTGATTTTCGGTGGCAGCAAATGTAATAATCCATAATCCTTTTCGGCTTTCATATAATCCTTTGATATCGTTAATATAATCCCTTGTACTATTGTTTTCCCTGAATATATCCATTAGCGTGGTAAAATCCAGATCCATGTCGGTTTTCATGAATAGAGATCTCGGTCTGGGCATTTCTTGCTTCCGTGGTTGGGTCTTCTCTTGCAGGAGTTGAAGTGACAGCTGCTGAATAATCCATATTCCTTTGCTTGATTATGCTGATTTTCTCCGGCTGTTTCGGTAGAGCTCCGCGAAAGGCTCGGGCTCTAGCTTACCTTAATCAAAACAGCAATAATTTTTTTTTAATTCTTTTTTAAATGTATTATAGTTCTTAGAGCGTATGGTAACTGGAAGCATATTCCAAAGTTTTATACCAATGAACTTAATGGAATTTTGTGTGCGGCTAGATGAATAGCGAGTCATATAATATGAGCTATTGCAGAAGACCGAGTTGCATGAGGAGTGAATGACGCTTTGCTTAACAAATAGCCGGAGAATGCAGCCGGCAGTTTTTTATTTGATGTTGGTGCATAATTTTCAGCACTTCAGTTTTATAAATATTGCATTTTTTAAGTATTTTCATCTTATAATAGTAGGATTCTAAATTGCACCGAGGTCCGGCGTGTGTAAGAGCACGGATTGCCCCTGTTTTGCATGACTTCAATACGATGCAGTAACATTTTGCTGCTGAACCCCAGGCCGCAATGCCATATTGGATATGGGACTGGAACAGAGCATAATAAACCATACGTAAAGTTGACACTGAGGTGTATGATCGAAGTTATACAACATTCCTACCGCCTTAGATAATTTAACGGTAATGTTGGATATGTGAATATCCCAGTTCAATTTATTGTCAATATCGATACCAAGATATTTATACGATTCCACATTTTCCAGAATAGTCCCCCCAATTTGGATTTTTAAACCATCAATGCGTTTTGGTTTTTTAGGAGTTATCAACATAGTTTTTGATTTATCCACATTTAATGTTAGTTTGTTAAGTTCCATCCAATGAGCAACCTTTTGTATTTCAGTATTCACTCTGGATTGAAGCACTACATGAGACTTATCACTATCGAGAAGGTTCGTATCGTCAGCGAATAATTTGGAAAATAGAGTGGAGCTACGTGCAAGATCATTAATATAAATTAGGAACAGAGCCGGACCCAAGGACGAACCCTGGGGAACCCCATGGGTCACAGGTAAGACAGAGGAGCAATATGTACCTATTTGAACATATTGAGTTCTACTTGTCAAATAACTAGCTAAGGAGTTGATTTGCTACCCCCCTAATACCGTAATGCCACAACTTATACATTAAAATTTTGTGGTTGACAGTATCAAAAGCTTTTTTAAGGTCGAGAAATGTTGCACTGACATATTCTTTCCTCTCTAATTTATCATATATATGAGAAATAGTATCTAAGATGGCATGTGACGTGGAGTGATTGCTTTGAAAACCGAACTGTGATTTATTTATAACATCGTGCTTTGTAAAGAAGTCCATTAGCCTCCTGTAAATTAGACGTTCAAAAAACCTTATCAACAGCAGATAATATGGATATAGGTCTGTAATTTGAAATTGTTTTTGTATTACCCAGATTTGAAGATTGGAATTACTCTGGCAATTTTCAGTGAAGATGGAAATATCCCCAATCGAAGTGATTATTAAAAAACTCAGTTATACAAGGTGCTATGATGTCTGCCACATACTTAAGGAAACGACTGGGAATGTTGTCAGCGCCAACCGCTTTACCCTCATTGAGGCATACTATTTCCATGGTCAGTTCATTCACTGTTGCAGGACTTAAGAATATGGATTGATTTACACGCTTGCTTAGAAATATTTTAAAGCCATCCATATCATTGGGGAATTTAGTACCAAGGTTGGACCCAACAGTGGAAAAATATTTATTGAATTCTTGTGCAATCAAGGACTTATCTTTAATGGTTCTGCCATTTTCCAAATCAATTTCATTAACACTTTTGGTTTTTTTATTTTTAGTAGATGCTATTTGATTAACAATTTGATTAACAATTCAATTGATTAACAATATCATCTCGTTGCGTGATCAAATTCTGATATGTGAATGAGCCGATTTTTTGGTGCAATCTGAGTTATGCGAGAATAAGACGGTCCCTTAGTTTGGCAACTTTTTTTGAGTTTTATTTGAGCCTATTCGCGAGCATATACGGTAAATATAGTTCATTTATAGAAAATAATTAGAATTCTACTCAACATATGGTTTCTGGACCTAATAGTGGTGTCATATTCGTTTTCAAGCATTAAAAAATGGATAAAATATTCTGCCAAATATTCAGAACTGGTCAACTTTAGTAACCTTGTAATTCATCCACTAGTAGGATCTATATGGCATAACTGGTAGAAATAAGTTATTCTCAAATTCCAGTGTCACTGCTGCTAATTTCGTTTCGAGGCTGAGTTCAAATTTAGGGTTTTCATATTTTACTTTCACATAAGCATGGCTCAACATCAGTATAATAATAATTGAAACTTTTTTCAATAAATAAGAAATGCCCATGCCAGTATTATTAAATCACAGGTGACACTATAGGAACCAATATTTCTGGAAGTTCTGGTTTTAAGCTTCAACAAAGCAGCAACATATTAGGCAGCACCTCACCAACAAATGAACAGGCAGCCAGGCCTACTGATGCAGAAGAACATGGCACAGCAGGAGAAACACCCTTCCATTTTAAAGGTGGGTTGACTGTTATAATTGTTATCACAGGGTGGTTTTCCTAACTTATGGATAGTCGTGATTTCTTAAGGCCGTTCAAAAAGGATTGACTTTTCAAAGTTGTTGTATGTACAGTAAATTATGAATATTAACAGGAAAATAAGATAATAGAAGACATGGAAATAGAAAGTTCGCGTGTTCGAATCCCATGCTGGACTCCTCGCCTTCGTATGGTGGTTCACACGACATGCTTCAAATCCATGCTTCTCAAAACCAATAACCAACTAATTCAATACCCGACCTGGACTGGTAACCGGATGAGACGCTGTGGTTCGGCATATGATTAAGTTGTCTTTTCGGCTTTCCTCTCCCCCGGAATAATTATGTAAATCCTATACTAAATCCCATTCTATATTTTATAGATTCAATTCGTGTCGATCATAACCTGTTCCTGCTTTATAATGAAAGACTAGCAAAGTATGGTGAAGTGTACAGAGGCTTGCAGACTCATAAAGGTTCTCGAGGATTCGATCCAATCGCCATAAAATCTATCAAACTCAGCGATGAAAATAGGAAAGAAGTGGAAATCATCCGAAAGCTTCGCTCCCACCCAAATGTGATAACTGTCCTCCAATCTGGGACCTATTTCTTTGGTCCAATAGAACATTTATTCATCGCAATGGAATACTTTGAATCTAAAACCATGACAGACTTTGTCAAAGACGATCCAAAGCCTAAGACTGACGAAGTCAAACATAAACAAATAGAACAATTTGTTGAAGCTGTCGATCATATTTACATGATCGAAGTTCTGCATCGTGATCTCAAACCAGATAATATCTTGGTATCGGACAATGGTAGAATTCTCAAAATAATTGACTTTGGTTTGGGAAAACAGTTAAGAAAAGGACATTTTGTAACCAAAATGAGCACTTTACGTGTTGGCACTGATGGTTGGAGGGCTCCGGAAATATACTTTTCTGACATTTGTTCTAAACAATCGGACATATTTTCTTCCGCACTCGTAATCCATTTCATATCGACCGATGGTTCCCACCCATTCGGTAATGACCCTGATAGTTGGAATCTCAATATAAAACGATATCAAGGATGTGACCTGAGCAAACTAGAAGGGGATCTGGAGGATTTGGTTGGTTGGATGCTCAGATTCCGACCACAGAATCGTCCTAATACCGAACAAATTCGAAAACATAAATACTTTCATGGTCAACTTGTTTGCCCTTATCCAAAACTGAGTAAGTAGTAAGGTTCTATCATTTTTAATGAAATATTTTTCTTATCAAAAATTCGGCTAATTGATTGGACACAGTATATTCCACCTTAAGAGAAAATTTTGAACTCAGTCAAAAACAAAGTTTATTACAAGACTTTTATATGAAATTTTTTTTTAGTAAAGTCCAGATTTCATATTTTCCCCAAAGCCTAGCTTAAATCATACTTGACATATTGTGATAAGACCCAAGATGTTTACTTTATATGAATGACATTCGGGAACATTTTGGTTTGTTTATTCAATTAATTTTGCTCTGTGGTTTTTATTATTCTGTCTAAATGAAACCAATACTTTTAGGTTCTGTAGTACGAAGAACTCCAGAGAAGGAAGTTGTAAAAGTCAAAGAAGAGTTTGAAGAAAGAATGAAGCAGATGGAATTAAAAAATGAACAAGAAAAGACGAGAATGTTAAAAGAGATGGAAAATCTTATAAAGAAAACGAAGGGTAAATTTAGGCAGCTTTTTTAATTGTTTTGGGTTTCTTCTTTGTTCTGATTTTGCCACCAAGAGTACCACGTCAACAGAAAGTGCAGTTTTTTTATTTACACCACCTCACTTTTTCTGATGAAACATGGGAACCAAGCTTAAGTTTATATAATAAATTTGCTACATAAATACAAATGTTTACTTCGACAAGCTTTCAAATTTAGTTTTTTTTTAATTTAGTTTGAAAACATTCAATTTATTTGAACTTGTTGCAACCTTGATTTTTGTGTGTTTGCCAATTCTTCTCTCTTAATAATTGCAGAAGAAGAAATTGTTAAAGTCAGGAGAGAGTCAGAAAGAATGCGAAAAGAGCATGAAGAGGAAATGAGGCGGATACAAAAAGAAAAGAGGAAAATGGAAATTGAGAACGAAAAGCTTAGAGCTGAAAAGAAAGGTTTTCTAGATTTCTAAATTGTTATTGGTAATTGCGGGCTGTATGCTGACGTGACTGCTAATTGGCTGGTTGGTGTGATGGCTGAGCATTAGAAATACGCTCACAATCGCATCTTTGATAACCATGCGTGGGTCAACAGGATCGAATTCCTTGGAGATAATTATGTGCAATAGGATTGCTGGATACCTTGTCACCTTAGGGTGGTTCATGTAACCGCTGTTTGAGTACACCATTGATGCGTCTGAAAACAAATAACTGGATGAAACTCACCCCATACCCATGGACTGTTAACCGGACGAGAGGTCCTGGTTTGTCATATGACTAAGCCGTCTCATTCACTTTCCTCTCCTCTTATTTTTATCTCTTTCCTCTTATTCTACCATACCATACTAGCCATATAACTCTTGTTGTTGATTTTCCATCAAAACCATGAAACTGTGGTTTGTCTACTATCCCAATTCGGGACTTTAGGTTGAATATTTACTGTCATGAGTGTTTTGAAAAAGTTAGTCAATATTAATATTTTTCAATCTTATTCAGATTTTGCTCAGCCTTCCAATATCTCTGCAACAAACCAGCTTGCTGTTTTCACTAGTGCAAACAAGTCCATTTTTCACAAGACTGCTAAAGGCAGGTGTCAAGGTAAATTTTGTTGATAAATTTCTTCTGTAAATAAATATTTTCAAATTGGCCAAATTCAAATCCATTTATTTTATTACAGCATACCTTTGAGGATCATATCAAAAACACAAAAGAGTGAAAAAACAATTAGACACAGTAAATGTAAATCTGAATATGAATTTGTGTATTATCATACCTTGGCCTTTTAAACTTCTATATCACAGGCATTTTCTGTGACTTTATGAATACCAAACAGTATTTCTGCTGTACGTTTTGATTTTATCAATCAAGGTGCAGAATCTCAGTCTTCAACTCAAAAATCAAAGCTCTAAATCAGTGTGGAACTACTTTCTTGAGGCCGGCTCTAGATTGCTTACTGGGCCGGAGGCTCAATATGAAACACTAAATAACAAGAGAGCTGTGCTCAAATATATGGACACGTTAACCAGAGCGAAGCAGTATTTACCTTTGACGCCACCGGTACCCACAAAAAATTCCGAGTTTCGCGTAGAAATAATTTACAGAATCAAACCGGACAGCCAGTGTTCTCATTAATAAAATAATACAGCAAAATTTTAGACGAAATATCAGATTTCATGCGAAATTTAGAAATAAATAAAAGTAATAGCCTTCTGGCAAAAAAATCAATCTTTACTCACTCAAAATTTCAAAGCAATTGATCCAGTATTCGAAGAGAAAAGGGATTTTTTGAAAATGATGGAGACTAATAATAACAATAACAACATAATATTGAAACGATCGTTATGTCCACTAAACGTGTCCAAAAACAGTTGGGTTGGGTCTGCATAGAGTTTGAACCTGAAATGTGTAACCTGTCATTTCATCCTACAGTTAAGTCTACCGCTTTAACCACTAGACCAATGGTTTTTAAACTTTTTGATCCGCGCCCCTTTTGAAAGTTCTTGAAAACTTTGCCCCCCCCCCCCCACAAATGCTATTGTAAAAGGCAGGTTACCTTGTTTAATGATGATGATATGCTGTGAGTCGGTTGGTCTCATTGCTTAATTGCTCAAATATTTATAGGCATAAAACGCATCGGAGTACAACTTTATAATTCACTGTCGTATGTATAAAGCTATACTTGAGATAATCGTCATCATACATTCTCCTTTTCCGGTCATTTTGCAATACTTGGTAAATACAAACTGAATTTTACCTAAAACAAAAAGCAATACATGTATATTTTTTGCACTTTAATGTATTTCCTGCTTAATTAAACGTTCACATAACACACATAAAAAAAATCTCAAGTAAGTGTTTACATACCGGTAATCACTATTGAGCTATGCAAAAATCCATTTGCTAAAAACTATTGCAAATAACTATTACAAACTTCCTGGCTTGCTTAACCCCTTCAAACTTCACAAACAATACCTTCTGACATATTTACAACTACGAGGTTGAAAATACAGTTTAAAAACTAGAGAAGTGCAAATGAATTTATGTATGTTTCCAGCATAAAGAAAAGCAGTTCATTTTCTACGGTTATTATGCATGTGGACCCTTGACCTATGAAAAATTCATGTTATACCTTACCATTGCAAAATTTTAGACGCTTCAATTCAGAGTGTTTTGGAGAGTTAGCACTTACAAACTGGCTCACATCAGCAAAACTATTATTTTATTCAAAACATTAAACTGTGTGCCGCTCACAGTTTGATCATTGTAACAGCATAAACAAAGAAATACATCCTCAACATACTAATCATTTTCAACATGCTAATTCGTCAGCATTGTAAGAAAAAGGTCATTGTGCATTCGCATAAACAACACAATGGTACATCATTATAAAGCAACAAGAACGGGATTCCAAATGGGCATCTTGTGACCTCTTGCGCTCCCGGTTTAAGAACCACTGCACTACACCATGACATTGCCCAAAACCTAAATAACCACACAATAGCTTAATTACATCTAGGTACCATAATTTTCATTTTTTTAAATTATAATTAGAATTTTCACATATGGCCTTTTAAATATCATTGAACCCTCAATCATAAGCATTTTTGCTTAAATATAAACAAACATTAATTTTATCAACAATTATTATCATCATTATTATCAAGTTCTGGTTTCATTTATCCAGGTGCAGAATCTCAGACTTCAAGTCAAACTACTTCTGGTCTAAGAATCATCAACCAACAACCACCTGGTGGGGGGATGAAAGGGAGTGGGTTGGAAGAATCACTGCCAGGATATGAAGGAAAGAGGACTTATGTCATCACCTACTCATTTGCTGCTGGAAGTCTGATGGTGAGTTATGAAACAAATTTAATTGTCGGTTGAAAAATAAATTATAGATTTATTGGAATCAAGATTCTTATTCAAGAAGGTTGTTGTTCTTAATATCAATCCCCATTGCACATCAGCATATTTGAACATCGATTGATTTAAATTTCTTTACTGAGTTAAATACCAGTGCAATAAATGAAGAATCACAATTTGGTAAAAGTAATGTTTAGGGATGCCCACAACCTGATAGTTTGATATCCTATAATTTTTTGGTACAATTATTGTTATTGTGAATTTCTTGAATTGATTCATTTAGGGGTCACAAATATATATCTTATTGTCAATTAGGAAGCAAAATCATTATATATGTCAAAATTTACTAAATACAACATGATGTAAACAAAAACGTGGATGGAAAATAGAAAATTTTCTGTCATACCCTTTGATTCCATAAATGCTCCAAATATGGTGATTTTGATATAATGGCAAAGACATCCCTTATAATAGTACTGTCATGTTACTTTTTTATGCGATGCTTATTCATGTCTTTTGCTCTGAACAAGGCCCCTATACATGCAGTCACAAATATTTAGTAGGGTGGTTCACGTGACCAACTGGTCTGTTACAGCCTCCTCCACCATCAAGTCCATGCTTCAGAAAACGAAAAGCTGGCTAAGCAATCTCTTATGTGTCATAGACTGGTAACCGGATGAGAGGCTGTGGTTCGCCACTTGATTAAGTCGTCTTATTGGCTTTTCTCTCCCCAGGATAAATATGTTAATTCTGTCATATCTTATATTTAATGAAATTTAAGCTATCAGACACTGATATCTAATGATATTTAAGGAGATATTATTATTTCGAATTTTCTGGTTCTACATTTCCTATCCAATTTATTTCATCCTGGGTGAGGTGGTTGGCATGGATTTGAACCGAGATGTTCAATATGTGATGTCAGCTTAGTTCAGCCCAACACTTCAACCATTAAGACGACTGTTCCAAAACTTTTTGTTTGTGCGGCGCTGAATTATTGGGGAAAAGACTGCTAACGGCGCACTAAGGGAAAAAATTTGAATAAAATTCAATATTGTGATCATTAATGTGTACTTTATGTTTGTAAACATATATGCCTAATGTCAACTTTTCTCTGCCTGATTTTATTTTGAAACTCTAAACAAACTCAACAATAAACAGATAAATAAACTGCAGCTTGGGAAATTGCAGCGAGCAGTGTCCATCTCTATTGTTGCGTAACACTAGTGCACCGCGGTACACCCTTTGGTAACCACTGCGTTAGGCCATTGCACAGTCCAGAAGCTCGAAAGAAGTATTGCTCACAAGAGTTATTGCTTCTCATAGAAATGTACAGAATCAGGCAGTATTTTGTATAATGCTTATATGGGTTGACTCTGGTTCATGCTTTGTCCATCTATAATTAATTTAAACTGGTATGCTGATTGAATTCAGTTCTAATGGAAATCAAAGCTTTGAAAGGTTTGTTATTGAGAAAAAGTTGGAATAGAGAATCCATTTGTGCAGTAAAATCATAACATAGCCATATATAGATCATGCTTGTTGAAACTTGAGTAATATTAAACTCATGGTTTGTTTAAATTTAATTTGTTCATAGAATTTAGTTCTCCTATGTTTAATTTAGAATTTGATTCAATCGGGGAGTAAAATCATGACAGGCTAAATATTTAGCGGGCTTCCTTATAATGTCTGATTTCAATGTATAATTGAGTTATCGGATTGTCAAACTGAATTAATCTATTAGAAACACCAAGTATTTTTGTAGAAATTTTTAACTTCTGCTAAACTTTCATAGATATTCTGATATTTATATCAGTTTGACAAACCCCCAGGTATGAGAGATGATTAGTTTTGTTTGTTTCTTCAGGGGGTTTCATATGAAGCTGAAGTATTCACTGAATATTTGCCAACTACCGATGATGGATGGAAATGTTACAACTTACTCAGACAAGCATTCGATGCAGGATTGATTTTCAAGATTCAGGAAGTTGGTGACAGAAGAGGAAAAATTGTTTGGAACGATGAGTTTCCTCATAAGACTAATAAAACTGGAGGACCAGGAAAGTGAGTAATTTGTGTGTTTCATGCTTGATGGGTATTTACTTCCTAAAATGTTAGGAAATAGGAAGAAATAAAACTAATTTAAAATTTTTGTTATGTATTGCACTACAAAACAATTCAAAATTCTTCAAACTCCTTATTTTGTTATCTGAATCGTCATTTATGGGAAATAATAGAAAGTGGGATTCACAACCCCTGGTATTTAAGTTATTGCTCATAATGACCTTGGGATTTATTTTCAAAATTTTCAAAGCATAAAGACATATTGAATAAAATATTTTTCTTAAAAATTATTCAAATTTATTTATTTGGATTTTACCAACCTTGCTCAAAGGAAAACTAAGCTCATTTTTATATGAAAACGATTTATTTAATTCAGAGTGACTTAATGTTTTTTAACTGCCAGGGTCTGGTCTAAAATTCCGGACATATCCACCTAACCATGATGACCACAACTCGTATTTATTAAATAGATTAGAAATCTAAATTATGATTCTAAAATGTTGTATTTTGGGCATCTGCACTATGGTTGTGGTTCTCAGTATTAATGGTTTTATTATAATTCACTCTGAACAAAACTCAAGACAAGTTACTAATTTTACTAAGTTACTCAAGACAACTCAGTACTAATGGTATTCTTATAAATCATTCTGATCAAGTCTTTGAACAAGTTGAAATTTGACATTTATTTGGAAGCCAGAGTCATATTTTATTCCTGTTAAGAAGTTGCATTTTCAGACTTTTGTCAAACTTTTTAACATAAACTAAAATGGTCGCTTATGATAAAGTTAAATGTTGGTGCTCTCGAAGTATTTGTACCAAAATGGCGCACAACCTGACATAGTATTGTACCAGGTTAGGGTTGTTCAGGTTGTTTGTCATCTTGGTACGAATACCTCCGGAGCGCCTAAAGGTTTGTCAACCAAGAGTTTGTAGCCATCATGACTTTTTTTAATTGCTCAGACGAAATTTTTTCTTCAAATCCCTAGGTACATGTTCTGTACTGCAATACTCTGAAGTCAGGATTCATCATTGTTAAACGAAAAACTTACCAAATTTCCATTATTTTCTACGAACATGTTCAAACAGAGTTCATAAATTATTTTATTGCAGCAATGGATATCCTGATCCAAACCATACAATAAAACTGAAAAAAGCATTGGAAGCGAAGGAAGTCAAGTTTGATGTATCAATACTGGTGAGATGATTTTATTTTTTTGACACTTTGGCAAAATATTGCTGAGTCTACTTTCCTCAACATGCATCCATATGAATAGTCTTAAATTCCTGAAATAACAAGTTGGATAATCATCACTTGAAACTGAATTGAGTAATGAACTTGCATTGGTATCGGAGGTAGATAAAAGAATTGCTTGTTTAAATGGAATTTTCTCCGATTCTAATAATTTACTATTCGATTCAAATTTTCGATTTGAAAAGCCCAGCCCTATGGACATCATAAAGTACTATATCGTCATATATGATATCACAATCACATAGTTTCAAAAGCTTTCAAATGAAAACTCAAAATCGCTATCTTCAATGAGACACTCTGTGTGCTGTGCAGTTTCAATTAATAATATAAGATTAAGGCCTCATTTTTATCTCACCCTAGTTCTTATGATTTCAAGTAGTTGCTTCGCCATTTCACTATTGCAGTGCTAATTGTGTAGAATATGGTGATTTGAATAATATAGAAATTAATAGTTTTTATTTTTATGTTTTTCCCGCCGAACAAGGTTCTGTACAATCATCCGCTGGTAACTGACTAATATTTATCAGAGACACTGTCATTTTACCAGTGACAAGAAATAAGTTTTGTAGTTTGAGAAATGTGTAGCTTGGATAGATATAATAAATATAGCAAAAACATAACATGTTTGATTAAGCTTTCCTATCATAGTGTACAGATTGACAAATTCTAGTTTCATTTTATTGCCTGTTGTATTAATTCTTTTGTCTCTCTCAGATAAAGCCATGGAATATAAGAAACTAAAATGAATGAGTGGAAGACAAAGATTTCCGGCAACACGATTCCACTGCATAGAATACTGAATTGAGATGTTGAACTCGCCTTCATCAAAACCATATTAAAGATCTTGATCAATTATTTTGTAAGATAAAAATGCGAATATTTTGAGAAAATGTATTTGTCCGTTTCCGTATGGGCATATCATCGAATAGTAAAACGGCCTAGGCAGCTAAAGCGTAATACTTAACTGCTGGCATCGCAGATTACACGTCTCGGGTTCAAATCTCACGTCTCACGTTTTGGGGCATTTTTTAATAATTTTTGTGGCTATAATTGCCCTGCACGGTACTCTGAACAAGCACCCAATCATGAATATGGAACTTCTATATTGCACAAAAGAACTTGAAACATTCCTGTTTAGCTCCGTATACAACACTCTGGGTGTGGTAGTGGGCATATGACTTAAATGCTTTAATATGCGATGCCAACATATTCAATTTCATAACATTAGGCCAGTGGTCGGCAAACTTCATGTACTTGCAGGCCAAATATACACATTTCCAGTAGCGTGGGAGCCGCAATGTTCCTGCCCTAATTATAATTGCCTCATTAAACATAAAATTATGGTGCATTTGCTTTCTTATGCTTCGTTAAAAGTCTGCCACAATAAGAAGTGTATGTGGAGTTTTTTAATATATTACTCAACAAAACATTGTTTACTTATTATCAATGTGAAAGATGATGTTGTTGTGGCAACATTTGCATTTGGCCTGTGGGCCGTAGTTTGCCGACCCCTGCATTAGGCTATTTGGGATGGTTGCATTGTCGATATATTATATTTGGTAGAATCAATCAGCGAAACTCTCCATAAATTAAAATATGTTGAATAAACTGGCATTTTTGTGTCAGTCTGTATACTACAAAATTGTTATGATAATTTGTGGCAGGTTATACCTGAATGCCAATTGGTTCGTACCTCAACCAAAAATTAATTAATCAAGTCTTGATTTGATTTAAAAAATGTCCAACCCAACCCTGTGTTATTGGGCTCATGAATTATGCTGGATAGATTATCTGTTTAAATATTATATTTCTGCCCTGGGTACTGATTGTTAATCACAACTAAATATATTATTAATCAAAGTATGTATAACTCTCAATGTCGTCCTTATGCATTTTAATATATTACTTTTATTGTATACTATTATGGCATATTGTATACTTTTTCCGTAAGTTCCCCTCTGCTGTTAATGACACCACACTCCAATATATTTATACAACTGTTCTGATATCCTAAATGCCATCCACCACTGTATATATCTATTAATATCCTATAGCATTTTCATGTATTATTTTTATAATTACGCAACCAAGCCAAGATCTGTATAATACAAGGTACTACCAAAGTATGTGAACTAAGATGGCGGACACCGGAATGTAGTATATGTACCAGGTTGGGCCATAATTTCAGGTACAAATACTACGGAAGTCACTTGGCTAGTCCCAGAACTTGTGATAGAACTAAAATAAGAAAAATTGGAATAAAATTACGGCCTAACCTGGTACACATACTTCGGAAGTACCTAATATAAAGCATCTGACAATATACAAATCAAGAGTTCCAGCAAAATAATTTCATGGAAATACGTGACTTTGTATTTTCTTGCACATCAAAATTAATTTGTCTATGTGCTCAAGTGTATTTATTATATGTGTTCTCGAACCAATTCAATATAAACGAATGTGTTGATATTTTTATACCAATTTATGCAATCAAGCCAATACTGTATATACAACCTATCAAGAGTTCTGAAGCAAAAACACCACTGATTATCATTCCAGTAAAATATTTTATATACTTTTCCACCTTATAAATAGTTAGACATGTTTTCTTCCACCCAAGTTCGAGGTGGTAATTTCTAATTTCCACTCCAAGGGTCTGTCCTAGAAACCAATTTATCACACTGTAGGGTGAGGTAGCGGGGATGGGGTCCAGTTGTGTATATCAGGATGAAAAAACAAAGTCCTTGGTATAGAGATTTCAGCGCTCCAGAAGTGTTTGTACCAATATGGAAGTAACTGATTTTGTTCGCCTACTTTACATCAAGTTGTGTAAAGGGAATAAAACAATATATATAAATAAGGAAAATCAGAATAAAGTTAAGGTCTAACCCAAACCTGGTACACACACTACAGGGATACCAAGATTTCTGTAATCTGCTTTCAGTTGACTTTTTGATAATATCGTTTAATAAATAAATCTGATTGTATAACAAATTTAAACATTTTTACTCCTGAATAAAGCCAACAAGATGGAGTATCGGGAATGTCCAATCTGATTCGAATCAATATTCAATGAATAAGGACTCACAGTATGATATTAGCTAGGAAATGAAAAGTAAGACTATTCACCTACATGGGCGATTCTATCCGTTACCTCCAATTGGTATAAAACCTTAAAAGACTGTGCCACACAAATTTGCAAATATTCCAACTTTGCATTTCTCTTTTTTTATAAATGTTCTATTCAGTTAGATATTCCTTTGAAAAACTGCTCCAGTGTTGACACAGAACCTCAACCTAACAACAAAATTTTAGATAATTTGAAATTGACAAAAATCTATCAACACGAACAACAAAATTTTTAGAACGGAGACGCTCACAATAACAACTTTTCCAAATAAAGTCTGACCATCAGATTTGAAAATATGACTCAAGACTCCAAATACTAAAGAACACCACTTCACATCACTGACTTCGGGCCCAAGGTTGGTGATTAAGAAGGTGTAGAGGTCGATGCATGAATGTGGGACCAGTTAGAGTTGATGATCACACCCAAAGAACTTACGGTACCCAAATGTTAGGGACGCTATGTTAAACGGAGAAAAGCCAATTGACAATGCACTCACTCAAAAGCTGAGTTATGTTAAATGAAATTAAAACAGAATAATTTACGGTACTCCTGCAGTATGTGTACCAGGTTAGGGTTAGGCCATAATTTCAGGTATAAATTTTACACAATATTTGGGTCCGGTCTTTCCAGACATTATATTTCGGCATCCTCAAACACGCACTTCCTCGGCCGACTAATGATTATTAGCTAATCAAGATTGCCTATTATGGCGTTATAGTTCTTTTCATATATATTTAAATCCATAAAAGTGATTTTATAAAAGGAAACTTCAAAAGTGGGGGCTAATGATCCAAAATAAGGAATTAGGCGCGGTCTGAATCGAATACCCGAGAGGCCAGTTGAGTAGTCCTGGCTGTAGACACCTGTAAATTACGCCAATCAAAAATGTGAAAAAGCAATTTGATGCAGAACACTGAAAGTCTCTCACGAAACACACTTATATTGTTATATTATTTATACCCGTGTATTTAATTGTATTCCAACAATATAATTATAGACCGTCCGATTTGAATGCAAACATGAGGAACACTTAAACGGCAATAACAGTAGGACCCTGATTGAAAACCAATGGCCAAAAGGCTTGTGTGGAGTACATCAAATAAATTAGATATAATTTCTCAATACTGAGCTGAACCTCACACTGGGGATAACAGTGAGTTAATAATTTTGGGGTTAATTCTTTGTAAAAAATCAAGGGGTCATGGTGATTCCCCCTTATTTGAGTGCTAATCATGCGTTTTGCATATCTAGGGAGAAGTCCACGAATAAGTTTTTTTTTTGCTTCGACTAAAACACGAAGTTTTACAGTGAGATGAGGGAACATATATTCTCTCCCGATTTTTAATGTTGTTGCTAGAGTTGGTTGCCTACGGCAGTGTTTCCCGAACTTTTCGAATCGCAGAGCCCTGCTTGTAAATCTTATTTTTGACGCACCCTCGCGCTAAGCCATATCAATTTCAAAGCGAGGGAGGATAAACTTAACACGAAAGACATTAATATGATGGATGAGGTTTATCAATTTTCGGAGCAATTTTTGGCAAGCAAACTTGTTGGTCCGAGTCTATGGCGAGTCTCGACCTGTAATTTGTCATCATATTGGTAATGACTGAGAATGCTGCCTCACACATGCAAGTCGTTACAAAATGCAGTGAAATTTGAGCAGTCATCAATAACACCCAGGAGTCCGCAGACCCCAGTTTTGGAAAACCTGGTCAACAGCCTTGTGCGGCATACTTTACATAAACCAGATATAATTTCTCAATACTGAGTTTCAATAGAAACACAAGGAATAGCAAGAAAAAGGAACATAAACTTCCTCCCTATTGTAATATAATTAATTGCCCGATTGTAGGGAGTAGTCATAGGGGGATTCCCCTCATGTATAACTGTCTTATCACTAGTGGTATCGTCAGTGAGCACCATTTCTGATTCATTCTCTGGTTATTCAGTCTTTACTCTTAGATATCATCAGCATTTCTCTTAAAATGTCATTTTCTGTTTGCCATCGGGATAATTCTTCGTAATCTCCGAGATATTGCTCATCCTCAACATGCCTCATCAAAGCAGCCATCTCATGGATCTGAAACATGGAAAGATAGTGAATGTTTTTTAAGATAAAACCGCCATCTATTTTGTTTTGAAATAATTGAACCTTCAGCGCCACCAGGTGGCTGAATTATTTTGCTTGAATAATTATTGTCAAACCGCCAGCATTACTAATGACAAGATTGACAAGTAAGAAAGATTCCAGTTCTTCAAACAATAGTAGCCCATCACATACTGTTTGATATCAGTGGCAAATATACAATAAACTGAACTTGATTAATCAAGATGCCTATTTCAGAAATCACGTAGTGTGTGTACCAGGTTCGAATTCCAATTTTCCTCATTTTAGTTCTATTACAAGTACGGGGACTGTCTGTGTTAGCCAAGTGAATATACTCCCTGCCCATAGGTTTCAGTCCCTTTACACGACTTGATGTAATATAGGCGAACAAAATTAGTTACCTCCATATTGGTAGACAGTGTTTCTACTATAAAATTATACAAAAAAATGCTCAATGTTATGCAAGGTTACTCCCACAATTTGCCATGCCACAATTTTGTGGTGGTCAGAGGGTTAATCGTGCATATATTTACAGCGATTAGGGGATTTTAGGCAGGAAATACCTAATGAATTTAGTTATGGGAATAATAACATGTTCTTTTACATCAAAACCAATCCCCATAATCAAATCTGTGATAAACTGAATTGTGGGCCAGGGTAACTGAAATTGTGGGTTGACCAAGCAGTAAAGCACTACGACATAATTGAGGGTTAGAGTAACCTTGGTCTCGTTACCTTATCAATGAGTTCCATATTCTCTTCTT